GTTCACATGTCCATATTTTATGTGCATTAAGATTTTCAATAGTTCGTAAATAAAATTAATATAAGATACATTACTTGGTAATCTTTTAAAATACTTATGCAATTACAAAAAAGAAACACTCAATTGGTAGTGATTTCATGCAATTTTGAAACCTCGAACAATCATCACCTAAATCGGCAAACATTTATATTCTACTGAAATGCATTCATAAGAAAAAAAAGTCTTTCACTGAGAATATAGCTGGGTCCACCTGCAATGCTTCAAAGGAGCATCGGAATCGTAAGAATTGTTTTCCAGTGCGTCTGAACATTCAATATCGGGCCAATTAGTGGTTAATTTTTCTTCGTAGAACTGTTGTATATTGCATCACTAAGTGGTATCATTGAGTGATTCCGGACAATAAAAAATAGGGGTTTTGCTATTTGGCAACATCCGACTGTAAGGGAACAAAAATTTTCAAAAATTCAGTGTTTCTTCGTCTATCAGAGTGCAATATTTTGTGATGTTTCTTTTTTCTTGCATATCTCTAACTATACTGAATCACAGTTTGTCGGCCTGATTGTCGATTGAACTTCAAAGGGTGTGGGTGCATATGGTAGGAAAGAAGACCCACACCCACACCCTTGCCAAATGATGACATCCAGTCATTCAACATTCAATAGCGTTTTTGTTCCAAAGAACACACTACTTGTATCCCCTATGGTGAGGGAAGGACAATGATGCAGGACAAGATGTTTTTGCTACTTGTCTTCTGGTAGCCGGCAGAAAAGGCTTTAAGAAAAACCATTTTCAAAATCTTCCGCAAAAACTCATTTGATTTGTTAACTGTTGAGCCAATCATATTTAATCTGATTTTATAGCCTCAATGATATCTTATGAATACCGAAAACCTCAGGTTTCGATCTTGTTCATAGGAGAAGTTATTCAAAAACCATTGATCTGCTGCTAGATTTTGGCATCGATATTAGATATGAGCATGATAGAACCGAAATCAAAATCAATCATTTTTCACAGGTAACGATATCTTTTATGGTTATACTCATGTGTTCTAAATAAATATGAGTTAAAATAAAATCAATTATACTTAGTTTGTCATTTATTGAAATCTTTCATTTTCCACGTTATCAAAGCATTTATTTATTCAGTAGTCTAAAGAAAACTTTTTACAATTAAGAACAAAATCATAAATTATCTGCTCATATATAAATGAGATTCACCATTAAATCACGATCGCATAGGTACTTTAGGCATTTTCCATTCCATTTGTCGTAAAATAGATTTTAATTGTGGACTTTTTAATTCAAATATTGGTGAATATGGTTGTTGATTACTTCGTATCCACCAATTTTTATCTTCACTACCTATACGTGTAAATTTATAACGATATAAATCAGCTTTAATAAAACGAGGTGGTGCATCTGGAAATGGATTTCCTCCAATAGATAAAACAACATTTACAGGTGAATATTGATCAGATGCAAGTAAATGTGCCATTAAATGAATAAGCCAAGGATTATATTGTAAATTTTGCATGGCTGCAAACCTTTAAGATACGAAAAAAATCCTATAAAATAATTAAAAAAAAAAAAACTATGCGTACCATAATTGCCATGTTAATCTTCGATGATAAGGTGCACTAAAACAAGGTGATTTATCAATTTTTCCTGGTTTACAAGTAAATTCATATTCAAGCCAAGCATTATCATGATTACATTGTTCAATAGTTGTTCGATTACAGCCACTAATAATAACTTCATTACGAATTTTTCCAACACTACCAAATGCACCATAGGTATTAACAAGATGAAATCGATCAAAACTTGAATTCATTCGTTGATAACGTGAAAATAAATTTAATATAGGATCAATACTTAAATAAATTACTAAACTAAATACAAATAATTTTATTATTGATCTTAAAAATTTAATTCGCCGTGGAAAACCATAATAAATTATTTCCGTATATATTTCACGTTTAAATATATATTTATATAATGGATATGAATCATCAAGACACCATAATGCTGGTAGAATTGTAAGCCAATTTAAAATACTTAGATTTCCACTGATAATTAATAATATTTGAAAAAGAATTTGTAATGTTCCACCAATATGTCGAATAAAACGCCATGGACCAAAACATAAAAATGGAGTAATTAATTCAATAAAATGATTTACAAGTACTTCAAATTTATGAAATGCATTCGGTGTTTGATGAAGATAATATGATATTGGATTTGGTATTGGTTGAGTTTCATAATGATAATCCATACAAGTTACTAGAAATTTGAAATAATAAATTTTTACAAAGGCTAATGATTTACGAAACAAAGTATTACTTACGATCTCTCCAACATTGGTCACCACGAATTTTTATTAAACCAGCACCAAGCATAATTCGAGCAATTAAAAAACGCATTAAAAAAATAAATAAAATACTCGGTGGACTATGTCGATCAATCTTTGATAAACTATATAACGGAACAAGAAACATTCCTAAAAATGTTGTTTCAAGTATTTGTATTTCCCAACCATATCTATTAAGTAAAATTTTTAAAGTAATCCCTATATACAATTTTTTTTTCTCACGTACCCATAAAATAATTGTCCAATATTATGTAAACTTGTCTGAAGACACCAAAGTATAAATAGAATAATTGCATTACATCGTCCAGTAAATAATAAAAATATTCCAAGTAATGTACCTAAAGCACAAATTGTACGTAATGATATATCAGATGTATCCATTGAAGGTAAAAAATAGAAAATTGATGGTGATTGCCATATACCATAATGTTCTTTCATTCGATTCATATAAATATATGATGGATAAAGACCTTGATAACCAATGAGAACAGGTGCTTGATGATAAGCAGCAAGAAAACTAAATGTATATATAAGACCAAGTAAACGTATGAATAAAATTCGTGTATGAAAATAAGTATTTGATGAAATTTGATCAAGAAATAATTTTTGTAGATAGAATAAAAAGTTATTTTTTTCTGTTGGCGTCATATCGGTTGAATTTTTTCTTTTTTCATTCAAAATTGATGCTTGATTTAATGTTGTTGGATCATTTTCATTAATTTTATTTGTTTGACTTTTACGACGTGTAAGCTCCATGAAAAATTAAAATATTTAATGAATTATAATTTTTTTTTTATTTTTCAAGTCAGATTTTTATTATCATTTGTTAACATACGAACCATTTATTTTTTGCCAAGAAGCAGGATATATGAGGACGTTAGTAGTCAGATAGGATTTCTTTATCTTAAAAACAAAAATGTTCATTAATCAAAAACAAATAAGAGAGCATCGTCAGAATTTTTTTTTTTGAATAAAACAGCTAATCTATTTATACCATTCAGTTGACAGAGAGTTAGTACTTCTTGTTTTCAATTCATACTTCGTACTGTATTGAGCTGGCATGATTCAGAAAAAAGCGTACTTAAAGAAATACGCCAACATGTGTCTTTATTTAATTTTGACTCTACTGTACTGAAAACTAGGCTTAATAGTAAAGCAGTAGAGTTTACAAAACAAAAAATATTACATTGCAGATTTACTGATTTTGTTGAAAATGTTTCTTAGGCATGTATAGTTAACTATTGAAGATGAAGAAAATTTTCGATAACTTCTAGTTTATCAGTATTTAGTCATAAAAATAATGACATAAGAAACAATCACTGAAATTCATATTTGTAATGGAAGTGTATTGCCATTAAATTTTTCTCGCTGTTTATTAAGAAGTATATTGAATGATGACTGAGTTCAATAAATAATTTAACAAATATAAGATTTCTTCGAATTTCAACGATTGACTTAGCGTTGAAATAACAATAAGAATCGTTATCGAAGATAAAATAACTTTTCACATTCTTTTTTCTCCGCGAACTAACTTTTCGAGCACCCTGTATTATAAAGTAGTTATAGACATTGCAAAGTCTCATTATTAGACCTATCAATCTTGAATTTATCGAAATATATCGAAACAATTAGATGTATAGATTATCTATTCACACAAAACAGTCAACATCAGTAAAGACTTTGCACACTCATAGTAATTCAAACCGAACAAAACGCATTAATAAACTCGTAGCCTATTGTCAATTTTTATATGAGTATCGGTGACATAATGTCGTTAGTACAAGCAAATGTGCTGATATGAACAATGTTGAAATATTGAGTTTAGTTGTTACAACCATAATAGTTTGGAAGTAAACTGATTTTCTTTAAGAACGAATGCTATATGGGTATATAAGCAAATCATTGAATTGTCATACTACCATAGTAAAAAAAAATTTTATTGTCGAATTCCAATTAGCTGTATAGACGTTGTCTATCGAATTGTTTTTATATGATTTAGGATTAATGAAGTGTACATTCTACTTGAATAGATTATAGTAGACTAGCTCATTATAAAGAATTACAGACCTGTTGACTTCCGTACATTTTCTTTCGTAACTGTAAGAATTTCTTTTCCTAAGTATATTAATTAAAACTGGATTATATGATCAAAAATCATCCTGAATAAATGTCAAAAGAAAAACATTGATACAATTTGCATAAATATCTAAAATGTCAGAGTTAAATAAGTATTACATTAATCGCGTACGATTGTCCGGAAGGGCGAGAGAAAGACGATTATCAGCAAAAATCACCTTTCAGTTTTCACTCAAAAAAGTCTTGAAGATGAAAATAAGATATTGTTCGTTCATCGCTTCTAAATTCGCCATTGCGTTCTATTAATGATGATAGTGCCACAAAAAAAAACAAATTTATCTGAATATCTTAAGACACTTGTAAATTTTTTTTTTATTTCTTCAAGAGAATAATGAAACTACTAATAATAAAAAGAAGAAGAATAATGAAAAAACTTGTCGTAAAAAGCGAAATATATTTACAAATGAAAAGAGAAAGAAAAAAAAAACGAAAAAATATGTTCATGTCTTATTATTGTATTTGCTGTATGACAGCATATGTGCTTGAAGTTATTTCTTTTATGGATCGGCCACTTTATATCCTTTGTTTAATGGTGGTACTGTTGAAATTTTTTGTTTTATTGTTGTCATAAAATTCATTTGTTTCATTTCATTTATTATTTGATCTTGTTTATTTCTTAAACTACTTAAACGATGATTTGGTAATTGAATACCACCACCAGCACCAGGCCATTCACATCGTTGATATAAATCATCAAAAACTAAACCTGGTGGACAACGCATTTCAAGTGCACATTGACTGTCACATTTATAACTAAAATTAAATAAATAAATAAAATATGTATGAAAGAAAAATAAGATAAAATACATACAACCATCCCGGACGACCAGGAATGCCTTTCATTTGTTGAAGAATATTTAGTCCAACATCAATACATAGTGGAACACCACGACATGGTGCTCCATTTGATCCTTAAAAGAACAAAATTTTGTTAACTCAATCCTTGATGGATTAAAAATGTGAAAATATAATTTATCTCTAAATCAAGAATATGTCTATAATTCGACATTTTCTTTTAGATCATATTTCACAAAATAATAATTATTTTTATATTTATACCTGAACCACCTTGAACAGATGGCTGTGGTTGTGTTTGTGGAAAAGAAACACCTGGCGTTGTAGGAAAAGCTGGAAGAGGAACTGATGATGGTATTGCTGGTTGATACATAACTAAATAAAATCTTTTATTTAAAAAGAAATAATTCAAATAAAATTTTACTATTTGGATTATTATCAACAATTGCACCTTGTCCTTGTGAATTAATTATATTATATGGATTACATGCAACTTCAGATGGAAGTACACATGTACGTCGTTGTTGATCCCACCATAAACCAGCTAAACATTGCATTAAAATACCTATTTGTATAAACAAAAAATATTTATAGATTAAAGATTTTTTTGTTCTCTTTTCATTTCACCTGTTGCCATTCCATCACGTCCAACATAAGAATCACAAACATAATATTTCGAACAATCTTTTGGATCAGGCGCAAAACCAGTTACAGCAAATGATGTACTACATCGAATTGTTGGCTGACTAACATACCATTCATTCGATGGTGCACATGGTTGAAATCCAAGTACAGATGAACTGATACCTGAACCAGCTATAAATAATAAAAATAAAATTTTTTAATTAAAAAAAAAAAAAAAAAAAAACTAATAAATTTCATTTACCAAAAGAAGGTGCTTGTGGAACATTGTTTACACTTGGTGAAGGTGCTGGATAAAATGTCGGAGTCATCATTCCAGCAGGTTCTGGTGTGAAACTATTAACAAGAACAGCTGCAGTTGGTACTTGAGCTGATGAACATGTAGCTTCAATAACTTCTTGTTGTGCAATATTACCACTTGGTTGTCTATCACGCATAAGAACTGATTTATGAGCTGGACAAGCATAAACACCATGTAAATTACATGGCCAATCACAGAAAATATTCTAAAATAGAGATGTTTGTTTTTCTTTTATATTCAATTAAATTTATACTTACATCTGGTCGACCTTGTTCATTTTGATGACTCCACCATAATTGATATCGATTAGGCATTGATGCACAAACAAATGATGATAATTCACCCGTTTCATAACAATAATGAAAAACATCACAATAATTTGGATTTGAAAAAAATCCCGTTGTACCTAATGGACATGAAAATGTTGTTTGAAAATCTGTACCCAATGCAATATATCCATTTTCAAGCATTGTACTTGTTAATGAAAATTGTTTACGTTTACCAATACTAACTACTTTTGGTCTTAATGTCATGGCCAATAAACTTGTATTATATCTTGATGAATGACGTGCATGTGGACATGATGTACGAGATGTACATGAACGTCTTGACATATCAAATGCACCTAAATGTGCACCATTTATGGATGGTACACATTCAAATACTTTAGCTTCTCCATGTCCTTTTGGACACCATGCAAACATATTACAATATTGTGCTGTTACATCAGAAACAGGAAAAAATCCTTGTTTACCACATGGTGAAACAGTTGGAGGTTTAAACATAACAGGTAAAATAACAAATTCTTGATTATAAAGTAAAGTTGAGCATGAATATGATGAAAATCTTGTACAACTTTTTGTATTTAAATCAAATGTTGATACTCCATCATTAATACCATCTGTACCTGTTTGACGACATTGAAATGTTCGTCGTGTACGACCCGAACATGCATGAAATAAATTACAAAACATTGGATCTGTATGAATACCATCAGTAATACATTCATAACCACTTGGATTAACACTTCGTACTTCAACAGCTTCATAATATGCTGTGATGGATGATTGTGCAGCTAAACGTGAACGTGAATATGTATAACGTCGTTCAGGTGGACAATTATTATTTATTGTTAATGGTACACAATCATTTTCAATTGGATCATATTGTGATTCAATACAAAAATATGATCCAATAAGTTTTGTATTAGTACATTCATAAAAAACATTACAATATTTTGGATCAGGCATACGAATTTTAATACCTTCAATAAATAATGGACATGAATAATTTGATGGATTTGGTATATCAGAATACATAATCATTTGTTGTGGTATTTGTATTGAATGTTCAATTTTTTTAGTCGTAACTAATGAACAACCTGGTCTTTGTTCTTGATCTTGTTTTAATACTTCATTAGCACTTCCTTTTGTATTATTTCTTGATATCCATATTGGTTTTTTACATTGAATTTTACATGGCCATTCACATTTAAGCAAATGATCTAAACCACTAATATATTGAGGATTTGTTGTATTATATGTTGAATGTTGATGTCTCCACCAAAGATCATAATTTGATGATGATTGACTACCAGCTATTGGACAACGTTCAGCAAAAAGTTTACCCGAAAAACAACGATAAAATATATTACACCATTCAGATTCATAATAACCATCAAAATGATTTAAACATGAAAATGAACTTTTTATTTCAAGTGTTTCATTTATTTTTTGTGTTTCATTTGATGTTTCAAGCATTGTATATGAACGAAATAAAACATCTGAATTTGGACGTAATGTTGTTACTTCATTTGGTCGAAAAAATTCATTTGTTAAACATTCATTTAATGCAATACAATTTCCTGTTGATGATTGAAATACTCCACCATATGTATTAGTTAAACGATCAACACATGCATATAATATAAGTTCACCTTCTTTACAACCATAAAATAGATTACAATAACGTTCATGTGGAATAATATAATTATCCATTTCACGACATTTTGGTACAGGTTCAACACGTTCTTGTATTGGTATTGAACCAAAATTATATTGTTGTTTTTCTTCAGGCATAATAAATGGTTGAAATAAACCACTATTTGCACGAGCTAATAAACGTTCATAACTAAAAACACTTTTTGTTTTTGGACATAATGTTGCTAATGGTGCTGCACATTGTCCATTTGGTTGATAGAAATATGATGTTGGTTGATTATCAATAGCATTTGATATACAAGCATATAAATGATAATTACCTTGTTTACATACATGATATAAATTACAATATTGTTCATGTTCAATAACATATGATTGATCATATTTACATGGTAATATTGATAAATCTGGAAAACGTGAATGATCCATTGATAATGTACGAAATTTTGTTTGACTTAAATTTAAAATAGCATTTTGACAATTTGAATTTCGTCTTGAATCACAACGTTCAGCAAATGGATCATAAATACCTTCTTCTTGTGTTTGACGATCAAAACAACGAAATGTTGTTGGTGTTGTTTGTGTACCATCACATAAATAATAAATATTACAAAATTGTCTTGATATATGTAATTGAAAACCTGAATTTGTTGAACATTGTAATGAATCTGGATTACGATCAATTGGTATTGAATCATATGGATATATACCACCTAAACATGGTACTTGATCTTTTGATATACATAAACCTTGACTACGATCAAAAAAACTATTTAGACATTCAAATGTTTGTATTGGTGGTAAACCAATTGTTGAACATTCATAAAAAATATTACAATAACGTCGACTAGGTAATTTACCAGTTTGTATACAAATAAAATTTGGATCAGGATTTTCAATTAATCTTGATGTTAAACTATGAAATGTATCAGATTCTTGAGAATTTGATGAATAAACTATTGCTTGATTATTAAGAAATATATTATTTGCATTATTTTGATAACCAGCACATTCATTACTGAATAATAAAGCATTTTCAGTACGAACTTGTTGAGATGATGTTGATGTACCATAAACAGAACCCGAACATTGTATTCGACCTAAAAATAAAATTTAATAATTTTTGATTGATTATATTTCGATATATATAAAACATACATGGCCAATCACATTGTTGAGTTTGTTGACTCCACCAAAGATCATATGGAGTATTTGTTGCACGTGGACAACGAAAATCTCGTCGAATACCACTAACACAACGATGAAATACATTACAATAACGACTGCTAAGAAAAACACCATCGGCTTGTCCAACACAGCTTACATCGGAATCGACAGAGAATGTTCCTTTAGAAAAAAATAAAGACTAATTAGATTAAACCTATTCATAGAAACAATCAATTTGAAGTAAATGAGTTAGCATAATCCCTATGGGATCACAATGTGAAATACAGAAACTAAGACGTAACGGGTAATTTATGACTCATTCTACATCATCATTGAACCATATTCGTATCTTAATCAACACTTGTATAATCTATGCCATGTTTTACTCAACACCAACTGTACTAGATAAATGCTCGATGAGTAAAAGGTTAATCTTTACGAATAAACTATCAACAATCTTTCTATATGACTCAAACAATTTCTCCCAATGTTCCGATCTTAGAATAAGTAAGATTATTATCATTTGAACTTGTTAATTTATCAGTACCTGGTGATGAAGATGTAGAACCACCACCTGCCGATCCACCTGATGATGCAGTTGTACAAAGTGATTGAGTAAAAACAGTTTCAGCTTCTTGTTGACTTTCACTTATTGTTGAACCTGAATCAACAATAATACCACCTGAACTTGAACATCGTCGACCGGTTTCACATGGCCATGTACATGCAGCTGTTTCTTGTGCAACACTTTGTGGTGAACCATGTTGTACCCACCATAAACGAGCACCACTTGGCATTTTTGGACATAGAAAAGCATTTGATATGCCTGTATAACATCGATAAAATACATTACACCAACGACTTGCATAAAAACCATCCTGTTTGCCTATTAAATTTAACAAAAAGAACATTAAAGAGTATTTCTTGTTTGCCTTTTTTTCTCAAAAAAAAAAAACCAATAGTACCTGAACAAGTAAACTGTTCACGTGATTGAATAAAGACTTTCCATGGTTCAGTTGGTGCTTCTGAAAAATTAAATATTAGAAAAAAAAATATTTCATCAGTAAGTTAAAAAAATTATCCATGAGCAAATAAAATTTACTAACAGTCAATTAGATCAATGGATAACTATAGAAATTGAAATGCGCTATCGTCTTTTCTTTGTGACATGTAACACACATACTATTTACAATATACATGTAGGTATTCTTTGTTTATATTGTCCTCCATGGCTTCAGCTTAGAGTCCACGAATGAAAACGATGGACGTCGTACAAGTTGCTCATTATGAATCTGATGTTTGACATAATGTGATAAATGGAAACGGAAGACTTTACAAAAAAACAAAAAAGTCTTAGGTCAACGAATCTACATTTAGTAATATTGATGAAATAAAAGCATCAATAAAACTTGAATTGTTCAAACTAAAACCCTGTAAGACAATCCCGAATCTTGGAAATTTGTTCCACAGTGACTGTAATGTAGATCAAATATGTATCTGCTATATCATGCATAAAGATAGTGAAAAAAGTTACTGTTTATAAAAATTGAAGCTCAGTACGATGATCATAAGGATGCGTATAAAATGAAAGCTCACATCCATTCAAAAGCAGCAATCCGGTGTTTGGCTTTTCTCTATGACGGTCGGAAATTCACGAATCCGGGCGCCGGAATCATTGACCTGAGCGTGCTTTTTTTTTTATTGATTTAATCACAACCTTTAATATTTAATAAGAAAGATTATCTTACCTGTACTTAATTGTGAACCAGGTACAGATGGTATTGGTTCAATAGCTGTAAAATATTGATTTGATTGACAACCATTTAAATTTCGGCTTGCAAATTCACATCTAAACAAAATATTATTATTATAAAAAAAAAAAATATATATTTTTTTTTTGTTTCTACAAAATCTATTCTTCTTACTTTTGTGATGTATCATCAAAATAAAATCTTTCACCTATTTGATTACAACCATAAGAACGTTTTTGTTCACCAGCAAGACAAGCATGAAATACATCACAATAACGTAAATCACGCCAATGACCATCAATATGTCCTTTACAATCAAATGGAACATTAACAATAACTTTTTGATTTTGCATTGCTGGTGGTAATAAAATAAAATTTGAATATCTTGTTTGTAAACTTTTTCCTAATGGTGATCTTTTTTCATTTGTTTCAATATCATATTGATTTCTATTTAAATTTTCTTTTTTAGAATTTATTGGTAAACGTTTACCATGTGATGTTAATATTAAACGTTGACCACAATCAACAAATTCTTCTAAACGACATGAACCAACACGTTTTTGAATTGTTGAATCATAAGCTGTGCCATCACGACACATATAAACTGAACCATGACCTGATTGACAATGATAAAAAATATTACAATAATTTTTATCAGCAATTAAAACATTTGAAACATCCGATGGACATTCAGGATGAAGTTCAGTTCCATAAACCATTATAGAAGATGAATTTATAATTGTACCATTTGAAAAATCTATTGGACGACGAAGTAAACCTTTACCTGAAATGCAAAAAAAAAAATATTTTAGATTTAATTTTGAAAAAAAAAAAAGAAAAGAAAATTTTTAATTTTGTACCTCCACAAACAACATTAATTGGATAATCACAAATATTTGATTCGGGATTGAAAAGTAATTGATTTTCACATAAATATTGTTCATCTTCACCATTTATTGTACATTTATGATAGGCATTACAATAAAGACTATCAGCATATAAACCTGATTGTAAACATTTATCAAGCATAAGTGTATTTTTTGGTAAAAGATAACTAAGTGAATCATTATTATCTGTAGTCATTGTTGTTGAACCTTCTGCTGAACGAAAGAAAACTTTTCCTTTACAATCATCAGATTCTGGATGAGCACAATACATATTGCCTGATGGACCAGTTTTAAATATCGCAGGAAATGGACACATAAATGGTTGATCAACTATTTTATCATTTCGACTAATACAAACATGAAACATATTACAAATATTTGGATCGCTAAAATTAAAAATAAAAGTAAATTTATGACTTTTAAATATCAAACTATTTTTTTTTTTATTTCATACCTAAATTTGCCCGGTTGATCTTGTTCACATTCAAAATCATTATTTGATGTTGATGGAAGAAGAGAATCTGATATCATTATAGCAACTTCATCTTTGCTATTATCAGTTTTACTACTATGAGTTTGTACCCATTGAACATAAGTTGTTCCACAACTTTCTTCTTCAATATCTATAAATAAGAAGAAATAAATTGGTTAAAAAAAAACAAAAGAGAAAAAAAAGCAAGTACAAACCTAAACAGGTTTCTTTAGTTTTTGAATAAACTTTTGCCATAGGACAAACATGAGATTCAACAGCATAACATTCTGTACTTGTACAATTACATCTATGATAAACATTGCAAAATTTTTCATTTGGATAATTAATTATTGTAGATAAATCTGTTGAACCATGTTCAGGACAAAGTTGAAATGATGTCACTTCATCTGGCAAATATATTGTTATAGCAGATAGAATGCTCAGAAGACCTATTGTATATTATATAGACATACATATAGTTTCAATATATATATATATTTATTAACTTACTGATGATAAGTTTCTGCTTCATAGTTATATGTGTATGTTAAAGTATGTATGCTTTAAAAAGGATCGAGAAAGAAAGTGAATGACAGTAAATTCAGCTGCCGTTCACTTCGCAAGTTGACAAATTGTTGATAGTCACACAGCTCAGTCTGTCTTCTCTTCTCTCTATTTTTTTCACTTTCTCTCTTCTCTCTTCTCTCTCTCAATCTTTAATTCTCCCACCCACTTCTTAGTCGACTAAATTCCATTGGTAAAGTCATCGTTTCTAATTCACTATCAAATACCACCAACCACCAGTTAGCTCTCCCTCTCTCTCTCTCTCTGTCTAAACACAACAAAAATAGAGAGGATTAAAGAAAAATGAGAGAACAAAGATATTATATGAAGAAACATAAGAAGAAATTTATGTTCTAAATCATATTTTTTTTTCTTCGTTTCCTTTATTTCTTAAGTCGATCGTTGCTGACCTTCCGTACGATTTCTGTGTGTACGTTGTCGTTTAGATTGCGTACGTGACGCGTCATCGAGCAATTACACACGAACATCACGCTTTGTATTTTTTTTTCGCACCCGATCATCTCCAATTACATCACGTTCATCTTTGTTGTACTACGGCGGCGCCGTTTTAATCCGACATTTTATGTCCGTCGCTTTTTGTTCTTCTTTATTTTTATCGATCAACATGTTCATAATACACATATACTTTTCGTGTTCAGTGCTATTATCACAATAGTCGAGTTCGTGATGCAAATATTGACGAACTAATCTTAGTAATACACCCACACTACACGTATTTACTAGATCGATGTAGCAATCATTTTGATGTCTCACTTGTGTCTTCTCATCGAAAAATTTTTGTTTGCATGATTCATATAAGAAAGATAAATATACACAATCAAATATAAATATAAGAAAGTCATTCATAATATATATATACATATATATATTTGAGAAAAAAAAAATGCTAACCTTGTTCATATATATTATTTTTCATTAAGGCTTATAATACGATGTTAGCAAAAAGAGAACATTTTAGAAACAAGAGAAAATGGCAGAAGTTCAAACCTTTTTTTTTTTCGAGGTTATTTTACTACTAATAATAATGATCAATCTTAATTTAAATACAGATCGAACTTTCAATGACATTTTTATAAGTATGTGTCAATGTCATTAAAAAAAAGGGAATCAAATAACAACTTACTTGAGAAAAGAAATATTTGATAATAAAAATTCAGCATCAGTTGTATTTCTTTGATTCGACCGGGCTTGATCTATAGCTCCTACTCACTATGAGTAGAAATATATAGTTCTAACAATGAGCAATAGAAAAAAACAAATTGTCTATTTGTTACACCACCTACTTATTCGTTATGTTTTTTTTTTTCTTAAATCCTCTGTCTCTTCTGATACATGTTACTTGAAAGATAGTTGATCCTTTCGCCTCCTTTTCTTTTGTTCGATATAGAGTTTTCATCATATGTATCTTTCGTCTCAATCCGCATAATCATCATTATTATTTTGTTGCTTATGTTTCGATGATTGAATTCTATGGTTCTTTATCCGATGCAACTGCATTGATTAAACGACGATATTTGTATAAGATCAGATTTTTGTATATATGTAACAATAAAGAAATGTAAGCAGCTCAGTAGTCTACTCTGCATATATCCTCTAAAGTCATATTCGTTGTATTCATACAAAATATGTAAGCTCTCAATCTTGTCTTATGAGAACACTACTTGGACCATACTTAATCTGTTTCAAACAAAATAGTCTACTACCTTTTGACATGCAGATATATATTTGATGATGTATTAATATAAAATTTGAAATATTTATTCGTCTTCTTCTTGTAAAATTAGAATAGAACGAACATAAATTTAATATCGATTAATAAATGTGTACGTTATATCTAGGTTAAATAACAAAATGTTATATGAATGAAATATTATCATCCTATTGTTTTATGTATATGTGAGACATAATTTATTAGTTAAAAATCGATGTAATCTTGAAATAAAACACGACTTTTGCTATTTTTAAATTAATTGAGGTCGGTTGAATAAAGTATAAATCTTATATTAATATATCAATTTCAACTTATGTAATAATTTAATCTATGTACATAATAAGGAATAGTATCTGTCTTTGTTTTTTTGTCAATCAATAAATTAAAACTCGTCGATTTAAGCATACAAATGAATGAATACAAAAAAGAAGCGTTGTTTTTTATTCAATTTAATATACGTGCAAAATTCTTATGATAATTGTTTATTTTTAGAAACAAAAAAACAACATTCTTTAAACATTAACATTTAACCAAAGGAAATTCAATTATTGACACATGTATTTATTTGATAAAAATACAAGTTTTATCAGTTGTGTTGTCCAACAATTGATCTATTCAACATGTTCATCCTTTGAATATTTACTTTCGAAACAAGAAGGGATAAAGGAAGGAAGGAAAGAAAGAGTTTTTATCGTATATTCGCATTCATTTGACATTTCTTTGTTTTTTTTTTCGTATGCAAGAAGAGAAAACAATTTTCTTATCATGTATAATTCTTCGTTTATAATCACTGATTTGTAAATCCATTACACTAATATGATGAAAGATTTACTTGACTATTAAAAACTCAGAACTATGTACGGCTTGATAATATATATGTCCTTCGAAGTAGTTTAGTATACTTCGAAAAAAAAAATGCCTTGACGTATAGTGGTTATTTGAAATATGTTTAAAATTGTTATTTGAGATAGTTGAGCACATGTTGATTATTATTAATATTGGTTGAAGAAATTTGAGATGATTTGGTTATATAAGGTAATGATGGTCGGCTTGAATGATTCGAAGGATATTATTTGATGGTCTTTAGAATTAGTGTTATGTACTTCTCAAGTATTTTTAAATTAATGTATTGTCATTATCAATGTAAGAGCAATAAAAATGTGAACAATCTAGAATATTATTCAGAAATCATCGTCATCGTATATATTCTTTTATTCACTAAATGATTTATTCGTGCATGAAATTTATCAATAGAAAAATAAAAGCATTATTTTAGCGTCTATAATAGGTATATGATGAATATTTAGGTTGAACATATCGACCAGATGAACGTGTTGATGATCGTTTATAATAATTTTGTAATGACATAAAAGTTGGAGTTCGCTTTGTTGAATGATATTTCGATCTTCTATATTGATCTGGTATTAGAACTTCTGGATGTTGGTATGGATCTTGTCCATATAGTTGTTGCTCTTCTTCTTCTCCTCCAAAAAAATCATATTCACCGGGATATGTTGGCGCATGTAAAACAGGTACATGTCTTGGTGCATTGTGTCTATGTCTAACCAAATGTTGATGTTGTATTGGAATACGATGCATGATAGGATAATTTGCTAATGGTGGTCGAGCTGGATATCCACGATGTGCAACACGAACATAAGCCATTTTATCAAAAAAAAAAAAACCTAACGATAGATAAATAGACGATGTTTTTTTACATTATTGCTTCACCTTGCTGTCTCTTTTTATATGCTGATTGTATCGTAATAATAAACGAAAGGTAAACAAGAAAGTCATGCGTGAAAAATAAAAGCCATTAGAATATTTAACAATATACATTTTTCATATCGACAGGTGATGTTGTATATATGTTTAGATGCTAATTTTTATATGAATGAATAATATGATGTACAAATGTATGTTTTTGAATTTTATCAGAACAAATCAGTCTGGTGTTTTTCAAATTATTTTTTGTTTGGTATGACGAAAAACAAATATTTATTAAATGATAAAACGAAAATAAATGCAAATTTTTTAGAATAAATTTCTACATACTGATATAAATATCTTTGAAAACATTATCAAATTTAAAATACGTACAAGTTTTATTTGATTTTACTTTTCGAAATGATTAAATCATAAATTCTCATTGATATTTAATTGTGGGAGAAAAATAAAACTTCCTGTATTTTAGTTTATAATCAATGTCATAGAATAAAAGGGCTTCTGAGTATTTTTATCAATGTCCATGACTTCAGCTTCACTTTTTTTTTTCAATGTGTACAAAAACAATTCAGTATAAAAAGTAATAGTCAAGTATTTTTCTATTGACGAATACACAACGCCAAAGTAACGAATTTTGTAACAGTATTTACTGTCAATAGGTAGTTTACTTTTCTCTTTGCCTAGATATGTGGTTAGTCATACTTGTTTCATTTATTAACTCTTTTTTTTTTCTTCACCTTTAGTTAAGATTGTTTGAAAAGCAAAGAGTGATACGCACATGTTGAATTATCTGATAGAAACGATGATTAACCGCTGAAATTCACATCTTCCTCTAAATTTTTTTTTCTCCGAAACGAACGATCGTTGGGTAAGCTTGACAAATAAATCATTTGTTTTTACAACAACAATAATCTTTTAACGTAAACAATTATAATAAAACATAGCTACGTATAAGAGTTTTACAAAGTGATATCAATTGACACCTTTGAAATATCTACAAAAGAAAAGGCTTGATTGTAAACAGATCAAAGTATGCAAATGAAATTTCATTTAATATTCAGAAAGAACTCATCAAAATCTTCTGAATAGATGATTAGATTTTCTTGTCGTATTTTTTTATGTGATTCTAACAGTATAAAAACTGTTCGGTATAATGTGCAGTATCTATTCTTAGATCGTCATTCTGCCGCACATATACGGGTAGTTATTCTTCGACTGGCAATCTATCGTTGGTATAATTGTAGTAGTGCAAACAAGTGTACGACATCGGTTGCGAGGGTAACATCTAAAAAAATGAAATATTTTGTATGTGCTTTTAAAGAATTGAATGAGCAATCTTTTCATAGAAACTTCTAGTCGAAATAATAGCATTGACGGAGATATTGATAATATACTGAAAGACTCATTTATTTTGTGGCATCTATTATAAGAATTATTAAATAAAAAACAGCAGCCTCCGAGGATTTAATTTTTTTTTGAAATTATTGGAGTTCTTCTATAAATCCCATGATATCTATTATTATCAAACCAAAGAAATCAGGTTGAAGGCTGACTATTTAGAACTATAGGTCTCTTTTGATGCAATTAGAATATATTATATGCTATCGACAGAATATGTCCAGAGAAATCTAGTCGTATAAATAAATTCCAAACTAACAGATCTTGATAGCTGCTCACTTCTTATGCAGAAAATAAAATATTCCTAATTGTTATCTCAATTTTTAAGTTTGAAACCTTTGATGGCGATCCCTAAGAAATTGATCGAGACTATCTATCAACGTTACAATGAAAAAATGGACACATGTTTCTGAATAATGACTTTGAATCCATTGTAACATGTTTTAAAATAACTTTCAATATTCACTCATAATAATAACAAAACTTATTGATATTGTTACAAAGAATGTTTCATAATTTTTTATCCCTTTTTCTTAATGTTTTTTGTCTCTTGGCTGTATTTGAAGAGTAGCATATAAGCTATTATTCACGAGAAATTAGGCTCAACTTGCACCATCAACTCCATGCAAATTCTGCATTGGTAGAAATATCGAAAAATTTTTATGCAAGCTATTTTTTTCGTCTTTGATCAGCCGTCTATTCATATGGCTTGGGTACAGAAAAAGCGGAGTTATTTTCAACATATTAACCATTGTGTAATTTTATGTTTTTTTTGGAAATATTTTGCTATATCAAAATGAATGAAGTCCTCATGAATGATAGATCTAGCAGGACCCATCTATAATGAAAATTTTAGGATATTTGCTTTTATCTTCATGGAGACATGGCTTACCAAAGAAAAAAAAATAGAAACTCCGTAACGTTCAGTCATATCGTAAAAATATCTTGGATAAATTTTTTATTAGTGTAGCTCATTCTCAAAAGAGATACTTTTTAATAATACTCTTGTGTATTTTGTTAATAACAGCTATCTAATGGTTCTAAAACTGCTTAATGAATTCTACAGCTACTTAATGATTTCCTATAGCTACCTAATGCTGGGGCAGTTGAAATGGAGAGAATTCAAATATTCAAAATTTGAATATCTATTGGGTTCCTAAAAATATTCATGATTTGAATTATTTTTTAATAGTTTCATTAGAGCAAGAGGTTCGTCAAAAAAATCTAAATATTAATAGTTTCAATGTCTATTTCGTTTGTAGAAAAATATTGATTTCTTTAATCTAAATCAGTGAAGCGTTTTATGAAATAAAAATTCATATATTCGTAATTGGAATCCGTATTTGGTTTGTAATAAAAAAATTCAGATATTTATAATTTTGTTTGCTGCGTGGTTTTTAAAAAAAATTCTAAAAATGAGGACTTTTATGGCATATTGGTTTTTCAAAATATTTCATTTATTCTTTTGCATAATATTATGAGCCATTCAGATATAGATTCCTTGTGAGATTATGAGAGGTATTTTATCTTTTCATAGTAGCGAGAAAAGAAAGAGAGCACAATATTAAGTTGTGAGCCACAGATAAAGAAAGTATGCAAGCATCTTAGAGATCTATTAGTTAGTCATATAATCGTCAGTATAAAGCTTTTCAATATTTAAGAAATCATATTTATAGACATGAAAAGGTTATGATAGCTATAGATAATGAAGGAAATGTTTCATATTGTTTAAATGGCAATTAGTTTATAAATAGTAATGGTTTTTATAATCATCCACGCGGTTTTTAACCGCTGTAGTATGTTAAAATGACTGCGGAGTCTTTTAATCGTTATCCAAACTCTAAATACGTACACCAACTTAAAATAAACGTGGGATGTCTAAATAATCAAAGCAAAGTTTGAAGTAGTTGTAGAATGATTAGGTACCTACAGGAAACCATAAAATGCGTTAGAAAATCATTAAGTAGCTATCGAAATTCATTAAATAGCTGTAGAAAACCATTAAGTAACTATATGAAATCATTAAGTAGCTATAGGAATTCATTAAGTAGCTGTTAGCTTTTTTTCAAAAGTATCTCTTTTGAGAAGCTACGATTTTCATTATCATAACTTGTTTGTTTTAAACTCATTATATATAGGAAGAAAGCCCGAAAGACGCTGCATCTTATAGTATATTTATGTTAAACAACAGATGCAGTTTGAGGTATAAAAAGAGTGTTTGAAAAAACAATAACATTTTTTGTTTTCCCACCATACATTCACATTTATTATTCGTTTCAGAAATCAAGAAGAATAAGAATTTTTGGAATAACTTTTGATAGAAACAAGATACATCTCACGTAGGATATCTTGGAGCTGGATTCGAGTATTCCTTACCGGGATTCGCATATAGGTTATACCAAACGCTGAAAAGGCTATACCAAGATAGATCTCGATGAGATCTATCGATTCCACTATT